GGGCCACCTTGGCCAAGTGTCCTTCAGATCCACTCTTAAATCAAGTGAGTGGGAGCTTCCTCTCTACTCCCTTGCCTATATGTGGCTCTCGTCTGTGACACTGTCTACTGAAGTGGCCCAGCTTTCCACAGTGGAAGCAATTCTGACCTCCTTTATTACCTTTAGGTGGCTATGAATTTGAGTTTGATGGCATTTTGTGAACAGTCAAAAGGAAGGAAGAAGGTCTGGTGCTTTCTCAAAAAGTTGGAAATAGAAATATCATTTGGCCCAGTAATTCTACTACTAGGAAAACACTTCAAAGAAACTAGAACCATGACTCAAACAGATATATGCGCACCCATGTATATTGCCACATTATTCACAAAAGCAAAGAGTTGAAAGCAATCCAGGAACCCATCAACAAACAGATAGAAAATCTGTAGTACATTCACACAAAGGAATATTATGCAGCACTGAAAAACAATGGACTGGTAAAACATTATGCAACATGAAGGAGCCTGGAGGACATTATGCTAAGCAAAAGATCTCAGTCACAAAAGGACATATACTACATAATACCACTGTTATAAAATAGGAAAGACATGGGGGATTGGGGGGGAAATGGATAGATAACAAACACTGTATTAGATCAGATGAATGGAAAAAATGGTCCAAAAGGAACATAAGGTTAGATATTATATGTATGACAACAATCTAGAACAAGAAGTGCATTGAGGGGAGGCCTGACAGAAAGGGGAAGGAAATGTGCAACAATGGGAAAAAATTATAATAAAACATTTTCAATGTTTTTAAAAAATAATCTATTGCAGTTCATGTTTCTCCCACTCTCCAACAGAAGAGTGCTCCCCTGAAAGCTTCCATGAGCCAAAATGGCATAAACCCAACACACAATTACCATTAATTTATATGGGAAATTTGTTTGCACATTCCAAGCCCCCAAAAATAGCCTACAAAATCATACCTAGTAACACATTAAACCTAAAATAACACTAACATGGAGTGTTCACAGACACAGTTCAAAGCTCTGTGGCTTCACGCTGAGATGAAGTCAGTTCCTGAGGAGGGCACTTGGCAATGCTATTCTCACTATTCTTTAACAACTTACTGCAAAACCAACACTGAATTCTAGATTTTCTTTTTCACCATTCTTTTTTTGAAAGTGAAAATCCTCTTTGAAGTTCATGTGGTTATTGAAAATAGGTGGTAACATAAATCTTACATATAAGTGAACTTCTGAGTATTTTGAGAAGTGAAGGGTATTTGTATGTGTTTCTAGATGTGTTGTTGTTCCGTGCTGTTGAGTTGATTACAACTCACAGCCTCCCCACAGACAATGGATCTGAACCTTGCCCTATCCTGTGTCATCCTCATGATCTTCACATGTTCGAGCCCACTGTTAAACTCATGTGTCAATCCATCCTGTTGAAGGTCTTCCTCCCTTTCTCTGACCCTCCACTTCCCCCAGTATAATGTCTTTCCCCTTTCTGATAACATGCCATAAGTGAGAGACAAAGTTTCCCCATCTATGTCTCTAAAGAGTACTCAAGTTGTACCTCCTCTAAGACAGACTTGCTTCTTTTGGTGGTCCATGGGATATTCACTACTCTTCTCCAACACCACAATTCAAAGGCTTCGAGTTTTCTTTGGTCATCCTCATTCACTGTCCAACTTTCAGATGAATAGAAGCAATATTACTGTGTTTCATAATACTCCTCATTCGCACTATCTCAAATAATCATCCCTAATCATTGTGTTTTATAAAATTAATCACCTCCAGTTAATGTCTCATTTAAAAAAAAAAGAAAGCAATACTACTACTGTACATTTCACAGGTTTAACAATCGGTCTACGTTGGTACATTTCATTTGTTTTATAAGACATTCCATATCATGCAATATTTCCTAAAGACATTCCATAATGATTCAGTTCAAAAAACGCATTGCCTTTATAACCAACTCATAGCAGACCCTCTAGCTGTAGGAGGAGGTTGCCCATCTTTCTCTCCTGGAGCCTCTAGTGGGTTCAAACAGTCAGAGAGGTGTGTTCTTGGGTTAGCTACACAACTTCCTGCTGGGCTGCACAACACCAGGGCTTCCCAGTCTACAGTGTTATTGCTATGTGCCATGAATTAGAAGTAACTCATTACTGGCCCTCCAGTGGGTATTCAGAGACTGTAAATCACATGGGAGGATACTGCCCAGCTTCAAACCACCTGCTTTTGCACTGGCAACACAATTCCTTACCACTAGACCATCAGAGCTTACCTACTAGGCTGCCAGAAATACTATCTGCAATACCAATGATGACAGGTATGCACCTCAACCCACCCACCTTGACCTCCATCAAACCTCAACTCAATATACAAATGTTTACAGAGCTGGTAACCACTAGCCGGCCACCCATGGCTATTGGGCACTTGAAATATTGTTCATTCAAATTATCAAATAGGTACACAAAGATTGAGGAAGATTAGAATTAGGCAGGAAGTGGGGAAAGTATGATTACATTGTGTGTATTGAAATTTCTATTATAGGTCAAAATCTGTATGAGTTAATTACTGTGTAAATTTTCAATCAAGTCATATTTTAAAAAATGCTTTCACGGTCAAAACATCTAAATAGTACCATATTTCAAATATATTACTTCTTAAAAAGCAAACAATTTTTAAAAACCCAAAGTTGAGATATATGGTGGCGGTGGTTGTTGTTGTTATATGCCGTCAAGTAGCCTACGACTCATAGTAACCCTATGTACAAGAGCCCTAAACCCTGCTCTATCCTGTCCCAGTTGCATTGTCTCCGACACACCCACTCCCACTACCCCAGTCACTGAATCGATCCATCTCATCGAGGGTCTTCCTCTCCGGCACTGCCCTCCACTCTCCCAAACATGATGTCCCTCTCCAAGGACTGGTCCCTCCTTGCAACATACCCAAAATATATCAGATGAAGCTTCAGAATCCTTGCCTCCAAGGAGCAGCCTGGCTTCACCCTCTCCAGGAAAAACCTGGGTTTTTTTCCTAGCAGTCCATGGTATATTCAACACTCTTCTCCAGCACCACAGCTCAAAGACATCAATTCTTTTTCTGTCATCCCTAGTCACTGTCCAGCTCTCAGATGCATAGCACGCAATTGCGAAGACTATAGCCTGGATCAGGTGCACCTTAGTCTCCAGCCTGACATCATTGCTCTTTAGTATTCTGGAGAGGTCCCTGCCAGCTGACTTTCCCAATGCAATTCCTCTCTTGATTTCCTGGCTGCTGGTACCAAGAATGTTGACTGTGGAGCCAAGCAAACTAAAACTATCTCAGCCTCTTCACCATCCATACAGATGCTGCCAATTGGCCCAGGAGTGAGAATCTTTGTCTTGCTGAAGTTGAGCTTCAATCCATATTGAAGGCTACAGTCCTTGTTTGACCTTCTGTAGCAAGCGATTCAGGTCTTCCTTGGTTTCAGCAAGCAAGATTTTGTTATCTGCATAATGCAGGCTGTTGATGAATCTTCCACCAATCCTGATGCCACATTCCTCCTCATACAGCCCAGTATCCTGGTTGATCTGTTCTGCATACAGATTGAAAAGGTATGGAG